GTACTGTACTTTAAGTATAACTTCACAAGGTCAAACTAAAGAAAAGTATTGTTGCATTGTGTAGAAGATTTTAAAACGAGAGACAGAGAGAGAGAGAAAAGAACAGACAGTAAAATGAGTGAAATTAAAGTGGTCTCATTATTGGACCTAGACGTTGTTTGTCCAAGCAGCCTCTTCTCCTTGGCACCTTGTTAGAGACATCCATGGTGGGTAATTGGATTCGTCTGGCGGTAAGAGTGTAGCCTGGTCTGACAGACGCCGAGACCACAGAGTGACGCCTAAATGACAAATGTTCTCTCTCCTTCTTAAAACCTGAGCCTAAGATGTGGTGACGTCTCGTTATCGTTCCTCAGATGAGGTTTGACGGTCTGGCAATCAGGGAGAGTGAGGAGGCCGGTTAAACACCAACGGTCTGACGTCGCTTAGCCAAGAGGAGGCGTTTGTATCCAGATACAAGACATTCATTAATGAATTAGTGCAGCTGACGTTGTCACCCCGTAAACACAACATTTACATTTATTTGCTCACCTAGTACAGTTTATTAGCATTAGGAAGATGTGGGAGGTGGTGGATGAAAGGTTTGTGTGGACAGGCAGCGTTCGAGATCCCCGGTTTGGGACCGATACCGGTCCATGGGCCAATTGGTACTTTTGCAGTTTTACTAATTGACTTCATTCAAAAAAAAAAATCCAGTCATATCCCTTTACTTTTTAATCTTTTAGATTAAAAGATAATCTGACAATGTTTTTGACTATTACCAGTCCGCAGTAATGTCTGTTACCGGCCGACCGGTCCTTGGTAGAAAAAATGAGAACTTTGTAAATCCCCTTTGACTGACACACATTTCCACTTCCAGGTTCCAGGTCTGACTCTGACTTTTTAATTAAGACAAAAAGACGTCTAAAACTATTTTTTTATCTTCAAAAAAAACAAAAAAAAAACACTGAAATATTTAAACAATATCTGCCATCTGTGCACAGACGCCTGACTCTTTATCTCTGAGTTTCTCTGAGATTTATAACAGGCTGTAAAAGCCAACACTGGTTACTGTTCATCGTAACACACACATACACAGGCTTTTACATCACTACAGCTTCATTTACAAGTGCATTCTGGGTCCACTGCCAACTTTTTTTTTTTTTTTCTCGGCAGGTCACACCAACACTGCTGTCCAGTCTTTACGAGCTTCCAGGCCCCTTGCACCTTCAGCTTTACATCAGCTTTACAGTTCTGTCCACAAATACGCACCATAAAAGACAGACACTCTCCCGGAGTTTATGTCTACTGTACATTTTCAGTCAACATGATGTATCACCGCTGTTAATTTCATTTCTGTTTTCAGGCTAGGTTTGACAATCATAACCACTGAATGATGTGTCTGTTGTGTATTTATCACACATTTTCTTATGTTTGTATTAACTTTAAGTGTAGGTTCTCAGTCATCCAGGTCATTTTATCCAAAAACAGTTACGTCAAGGTCAACTGGATGGAGTAGGTTTTTTTTTCACCTCTCATCCAAGAGAACTGAAGAAGCCTCTTAGATGAGAGGTGAAACGTCTTCAGAAAAACCTCCTGGAGGACTGAGAACCTCCACAGAGTCTGGCTGTTTTTTACCCCTTTAAGCAGCGATGTTTACAATTTACTGTATGTTCCCATGAAACCGTTGATATAGTTTTAAAATGCTGGGATTGCTCTGTCTTAATGGTTCCTAATGTAAGGAGGTGGTTAAAGTTTTGAGGAACCACAAGGGGGGGTAGGTGTCACAATGAAGAAATACAGATTAAAGCTCAATGCTATCGTAGCTGCAACTCTAATTTGAAAAAATGTGCAGAACAAAGCTTTCATACACGGCCACTGAAAAAGTCGAGTCATGGTTCAAGTGGTTCTGGTCTCACATTTCACCTCCTAATAAAACTGTTTAAGGTCTAGTCTTTAGAACAAGAAGGTTTTCTGGTTCGATCCCCAGTCTTTCCAGATTTGGTTTGTACGTCTCCCTCTTTTCCCTTAAACTTTCCCTGGAGGTTTTTAAGAAAAGAACGAACATTAAATAGTGATAGATGAAGAGTGGAGGGCATTCATACAAATCAATGACTTTAGCGTATGTGTCATTAGCTGAGGTTCGACTGTATTTGTTAGTTTGCTAATTTTATGATTGTTTTTTTAGTCTAACGTAAGTTTTTTTTGGTATGTTCATGTTTGTTTTTTGCTAATTTTGATTGTTTTTGTCCAACCTTATAGTTTCTTTTTTTATCTTTAATTGTAGGTGTCCCCAACATCAATGTTTTCTTAATATGTCCCACTTGGTCATAAGCAAGATGAACGGATGATGAAAATAAATTCTGTGTTGGTGAAACAACGTTTTAGCAAAACAGTGTTTAAAACAAATTTCAGTGGAGTTCGAAAACAAAAGCTGTGAATGTGAAAATCTGCAGCTCAGGTTTAGATAGAATACAGTACATTTTTGTCTTTTGAAATGGAAATGGAAGAGGATGGAATCTGATCATTTCAACGTTTTAATTAGAATTCTCCAAACATTGTAGTCACAGTGAGGGAAAAAAAAACTCTAAGTTTAGAATAAGGCTGTGTGATTTTCATGTTAAAGTCAAAGAAGGAGACAGGTCGGTCCTAAGAACAGGTGTCCAACACATCAACTTCCTGTTATTGCTCTCTGATTGTTGTCTCTGCCTGCCAGACTGTGGTTTGGATTATCACAACTGACAAGTCTGTTTACATCCGCTGTAATTAAAGCAGGATCTGTTAGACATGAGTCACCACCAGGATCCATCTGCAAGCAATGGAAGAGATACGAGTGGTGAAAAGAGAAGACAAGGTGGTAATAGGAGAAGACAGTTTTGGAAATCACTGTCAGCATGCAACAAAAGCTACCCAACATGTCCATAAGTTAAACCTTAGTGGGACATTATAATTTAGGAGGTTGGAAAAAGAACAGAAATGGCTGAACTGGCCAAGTTTGGGACCAAATGATTTTTTTCAAAAATCCAACTTTACTGTGGAAATCACTCAACTAATTATTTTTCCTCCTGAAAATAATTGAAGTTGACACAAACTTAGGCAAATGTTAACTGTTAATAATAGAAGTCTTTTTTACAAACAAATAAAAGGTTGCATTTCCATGTCTACTTAGAAGTTATAATATTCATTGTGAGGTCTGTCCATCTCCTTTTCCTCCTACTTGTGTCTGCTGTGTGATCAGTGTCATTACGTTCACCTGTGATCACCTGTTCATTAGTCTCACTGGTGTCACCTGGTGCCCTGGTTATATATACCTTTCTCACTCACTCTCGTCTATGTGAGCTCATTGTTCATGGTCATTGTGACGTTTCCATGTCTCCTGTGCTGGTTTTCAGTGTACCTTTTTCTTGAATTCCTTATTTCTGGATTCTTGATTTATGCCTGTTTTCCTGTTGTTTCTACCCGGTCCTGTTTCCAGTAAATGTTTTTGTTATATGGATTTTGAAAATGAACTTCCTGTACCTGAAGAGAGTCTCGCTCGTGCTGCAATTAGATCTTCCCTGCCTCCTCACACTCACGGCAGAACGTAACAATACAGCAGATTGCTAAATGTTAGCCTGCATGAATAAAAGTCACTTATTTATCTACGGCAAACTAAGGCCCGGGGGCCAAATGTGGTCCGTGAGATCATATTAAATGTGTACTAGAATTCGCCCGCCAGTATATGGGCCCTATACTGTATACTGGTAGACTTTGGAGGATTAGCGGTGTATGCGCTATGTTATAGCACACATATATATATATATATATATATATATTTGTTGTTGTTGGGCTGTTTCTCATGTGTTTACATCAAAAAGGAACTTGAAATACTACAGATAAAGATACATAATAGGAAACAAATATCACTGATGTGTTTTATTTTTAATTTAATTTCTCATGTGTTTATAATAATAAACTTTGGTTGATCCAGATTCTGCGCAAAACTTATGGTTTGTTTTCACGTGAAAAAAGTCCATATCTGGAGAGAAGGGTCAACATGCACAGTTGCTGTCAATGTTTTAATAAATATAAAGTCTGAGGTTTTCATTTTGGCTCACTATCACTTAGTGTGAGTTTGACACCCCTGATTTACAGTAATTAAAAGTGAGCCAGAGTACTCGATATCGCTCTAAGGCAGCGGTGCCCAACCTTTTTTATACCAAGGACCAATCTGCCGGTATCAGCCGTTACTGCGGACCAGTAATACCTGGTATTGATTACATGGTTACATTTAAAAATAAAAATAAAACATCCTTTAGACTTTATTCTGTTAGTATCAGTGTCTGAATGACCTACTGTTTTGAAACATTGACAGATTCAGATGAAAAAAGTAAAGGGATACGACTGGATTCTTTTTAAATTAGGTAAATTTGTAAAACTGAAGTACATTTTTTCTCTGTGTCCCAGTAAAATAAAAAGAGTTAGCGCATAGTCAGTCTGTTTTTTGCTTCTCGTCTTCCACACCTTCTTACCTGTTTCAGATGGCAGCAGCTCGTTCCCGGTGTGGCAGCAATGATGGTGGCGTTAGCGACGTGTGGGTTAATGCATGCAGTTTTACTGAGCTGCAGCTCAGAGAGACACGGCCGACAGCTGATCAGGGCGTGATTTATGATGCTGACCGCAGGGTGCGTGCTGCAGGCTAATGACACATACGCTAAAGTCATTGATTTGTATGAATGCCCTCCGCTCTTCATCTATCACAATTTAATGTTAGAGTTTGCAATGCTGAGGTAGAAAATGAGGAAAGGAGGTGAAGAGGAGGATGAGTAAAGGAGTGAAACCTTCCCAACTGAAGTAGAGGTGAAGGAGGTGAAGAAGATGGAAAGAACAGCCTTGACATGCATCGCTGTAGAACTGACGGGATAAGTTATTTAGAAGCACGAGTGAAAGAGTGGTTCTGGTCTGGTCATTTTTTTACATTGCTTTTAGGACAATTTTTGTAAAGTTTTCTTTCACCTGTGTATATTAACACACTAATTTTGTACTTTTTTTTTGCCAGGAAATTACGTTTTTAGACCACTGAGTGAATATTTGTGTCCACACGGACACTGAAGTAGTGAGTCTGCTGCTGTCCCCTGTGAATGGTTTATGTTACTGAGGTTAAACCAGTGGTTCACAAACTTGGGTTCATGAGAAAATTTTGGTTTGTTTCACACATTTTAAATGTAACTGTTTTTACGCAGTTTTAAGCTAGCATTGCCAACTTTGGTCGGTTGGCAGGAGTGAGATTTTGTATGTAGGGAGCAGCAGGGGGCGCACTGCACGGGGGCTGCAATCACTACTCCAAGCAGATTATACAGGTGACAGCGAAAAAACAAGAGCAAGAATTAAAAATAATGACCACTTTTGCGATATCATCATCAGATATTAATTGTACACCACCTTCAACCAGTCACTTTTTCGCCAGTCTCTTGTTAAACATTTACAGCATTGGACAATATGCTACATTACAGTTCGTTCATTAATTCCGTCTGCGCCCCCCAGGGGACGCCCTCCCCCCCACTTTGAGAACCACAGGGTTAAACTAAACATAAAGATTTAAAATTCCCGTAAAACAAAAAACATTAACATTTAAACTGACGGAAGCAGTAGTGGCTTGACATCGTGTGCTGCGACACAAACTTGTCAGTTTTTGCAATTAATTCTGAGGTAGTCACTAAAGGACACTAACTAACTAATAAGAGCACTATTTAAAATTCCTGAACTATATCATTAATTTGAGGTATTCATAGTGTCGCGAGTGTGTGTCTCTCTGAGGACTCGGACACTGACACCGTGTGGGAGGACTGTCTGATCTCCAGGCTTCTCTATTGACTGGTCCTAGAGCAGCAGTTCTGGCTGGCTGCCTCCCTGAGGCCCATATTGACACACAGGTTCTGGTTTGGATAACAGGGTCGCAGGAGTAAGACTCTCCTTTTTTGATTAATTGAGCAGCGGCCTTGATTAATGATGCCTGTAGTCACGATCTTCCTGATGTAAACTTAAAACTTTCTTTGCAGCAGAGGAGGCGGTGGCGACGGTGAAGGTAAAGGCCTCCTGTGGAGGTGCCAGACAGCTGTTTTTAGCTTATTTAACTTCAGTGTAAATAAGTCCCCAGATGCTTTTCAGTTTGTTTTTTTAATAACACTCAACATTGTTATTATTTTTTTTAATTCCTTATGTTTAAGCAACAGACACAGGACAGAGCTACACAGTTGGTTTCAGGAAGACAATTTGAATTCCAGGTCAATATGAATAAAAAAGTCAGATACTATTTTTGTTGGGTCTCAATAAATTTGCAATAAACTCATAGGCAGTGTTGCAGTAGTGGTGCAGGCAGGGGCAGCTCTTGGGGTATAAAATATAGGCGGTTGCCTAGAGTCCTATTGACTGGAGGGGCGCCACCGGTCACCCTGGGCCTCAAGAAAGAAAAAAGAAAAAACAACAACTTACCATTGGTGCCATCTCTTTGTGTGCTCTGTCTTGAATTTTTTTTTTTTTTTAAATAAACATAAAATGGCGTCCCTAAATTGTGGTGCAGAGTCACAGTGGTGTGGTTATGGGGTGCACACCTCAAGATCAGAAGGATCAAAGGTCAGGTCAAGTGACAGAAAGGTGATAGGTTTCTTATTTGCAAAATGAAAAGCCATTGGTTGTGCAGAACGGAAAGAGCGCATTAGCAAACATCACTCTAGACGCCGCCCTCGTCATGGAAAGAGATTTGAATAAACTGCTGCAAACTGCTGACTTTTTTTGTCCACTGAAATAAAATACACTGGGACAAAGAAAATGGAACCCTGGATTGGAACATGTTTTCAAAGATACAAATACATACACGTGGGTTCATAAAATTCATTTTAAAATGAATGATTAGTCCATGTTCTAACATTGAGCTTAGTTGATGTACACCCTGAAAATCAGTTTAAAACAAACCAAACCATATCAGAAAGTCCAAGTGCCAGGATTCGCCCCAGGGACAAATGTTGGATCAACCTGACGTTGATGTGTTAATGGATGTTAATCAATATGTTCCCAAAGTGTTGGGAACATTTACTATTATTAAAACAAATAAGTTGAGGTAATGTTAATGGTAAAAAATGAAAAGAAAAAGTCCTTTGATCACAACAATGCTTTGTTCTGTCATTTCCTCTTTGATCTTTTTGAAACTTCTGAGTTTGTTCAATTCATTGCATTGTTAGACTAAAACAGAACAAATACATTGAACTTCTGAGTTTGTTCAATTCCACCTGCATGTTAGACTAAAACAGAACAAATACATTGGAATTCACAATCAAGGTATGGATATTCTTAGAATCTGTCATTTGGAGGGGAACACATTAATATATGGGGACACATTTTGTTTTCCTTTTACCAGCAGGTGGGTTGTCCTTCGTAAATTGATCTGGTTTTCTCGGTTTTTAGATGCCTTGCCAGATACATAAGAAACGGTCTGATGCCGCAAAAAGGCGTCATCATCAGAAAAGGTTGAAGACTGTTGCAGCTCAAGAGACTACTCCTGGATGTAGTGAAAGTTAGTTTGTATTTTATTCGTTTTTATAACAATAATATTAGGTGTTTGAAAATGTCTCTCGCAAAAAAGCTCAACTGTGTTGCCTGAAATATTATTGAAATATTTTCAGCAATGAAAGTGATTTCAAGGTATTTTGTTTTGCTATACTGTTGGTAATGTTTTGGTGTTAGGAAGCTTCCTCTAACTATGAAATTGGGTGGTTGTCGTCTGTTGCTCTTTGACTTGGTACAGCTCAACAGAATACCATCCAAGGTTCATCTGTGGCTGTCCAAAAAGAAACTGTGGTGACTGCCTGTTCGTCTGCAGACAAGGAGGTGATTTCATGTTTTATGTCAATGTTATGCAAAAATCCAAGAGATATTTGTGTGTGTGTATATATATATATATATATATTTATGTATATCTATTTCTATATATATATATAGTTGGTAAAAGTACTAAAAATGCAGTAAAAGTAACTTTACTTTGTAATTTGAAATTTACTTTGAGTAAAAGGTACTTAGTTACATTAAATCACTTGAAGCAAAATAGGATGAGTTATACATCCAATCCGGAACTAATTGCTTTTAATCAACAATTCAAATACAGGGGCATTAGTTGAGAATTCTGTGATCCAATTGGATGCTAATACTGCAAATTCAAGCCACTAAAGCACAGCAACAGCTCTGTCCTCCAGGGCAGGCACATTTTGCATTGCATTTTAAACTTATTGTTATACTTATTAAGTTAACACGAATATTTAGCGGTTAGAATTCTGTGGTTAATCCACCCGGAATGATGGCAAGCCCCGAATTAGTTTGCTTCACTTGGGTTTTGACAATATCGTTGAGATGGGCGCGCATGGAGTCGCAGATCAATCGGTATGAAGATTTGTGGACCTAAGTTGGACACTGGAGAGTGCTGTTGTTGTCGTTTCCCCCTCCAGAGTCAGGCGGTTGTATATTTTTGTTCTGGATGGTCACCGTATTGTTGTTTTGACGCTGTTCCGTGCAGAAGTGCGGATGTTGTTTTGCACAGGTGTGTGTTTTACTGTATCGATAAAAAAGGAGAAATAAAAAAATATATTTTGACCACAAAAAAATTGACAGCCATGCATCTGGGTCGTCCTGTATCGCACCATACATCGACAATACAAAAACACAACTCTTACGGTGTCTTACGGTGTTGGAAGGCATGACGCGAAGTTGCACGGATTTGGGTTACCCAACCATACTGTAACTATTGTTGTTGAGCATCTTCTAATTGTGATAACAGAGTTAAATGTCATGGTTGTCTCCCAGTGTGCTTCATGTGTGGTTTGGCTTCATAAAATCGGTTGGAGGTCAGTAAGCACAACCAGAAGTAATACATAAGGCGCACTGGGTTATAAGGCGCACTGTCCAGTTTTGAGAAAAGTACAAGTTTTTAAGTGCGCCATATAGTGCAGAAAATACGATACTTTGTGGTGATTACTTTGATATTTGATTAAATGGAGTCTTTTCAATATTTCCAGGGTGAATCTTCCTCTCTGCTGTTGAAGGAGTTTTCCATTGTCCTAAATCGAGTTCCAGTCACCGACAACACAGTATATGAACTAAATGAAGCTTCAGCTCATTCTTCGGATTCTCATACCAGCGGAACCAATGTGGACGGCAACAGGTTTCTGACAGGTTCTGTAGGAACTAGTTCCAGGCTTAAAAGAAAATACCAGGCTTAAAAAAAAAAGTGCCAACAATAATGTGCGTCCCGTTTATAGAAAACTGCTTAACTACCAAAGAGAGTGCCAGGTGCAGGAACCTTTTGCAATCTGAATATGACTTTTCTTGAAATACTAGATCCAATGGCCTCCTTTCAAAAGCCAAAGCCAACATTTTAAAGGACAGTTAATTGCATTATCAGTGGACAGTTCTTCAGCACAATTCGTGAGCTATCATTTCCATTGAAATCTTGGGCAATGCACATTCACTAAATTGTGTAAAAAGTGTTTATCTAATGTATCTAATTGTGCTGCTTCGATTATCTCCTCCGTGTCGGAGTGGCCCTACAGCTAATGCTAATGAAGATCAACACCACATGCTAATCCATGGAAAACCATGTGGGGTTTGGCATGGTTTTGAAAAGAAAATAGATAAAGATGACATGTGTCCAACTCCAATTTAATACCTATAGGTGAGACAAAACATTTTATTGTTTTTTTTTATGTTAGCTATAAATATCTTTCTCTGCATTTTGCTCAAGCACTGTAAAACACTGCCAAAGACTTTTCTCATGAGCTTTTGAGATGCAGTACATTAACATTTGTGCATTTAGCAGACACGCTTATCCAAAGCAACCTCCGAGGAGGTTTAACAATATCACAACATGTGGTTCCTCTGGGAATTGAACCCAGGACTTTCTGCTCTCGAGGCAGGTGTGCTAACCACTAATGCTATGAAAACACATGAGGCAGTACTTCTGTAGTACTCCTCCTTATTGTATTAATCTTGTGTTTTATTTTTTTTTTCATTGTTAGTTACTACAATATTTCTTTGCCAATGTATTTACATATATATTTATTTTTATCAGTGTGGCTTGTTCTAGTAATAAAGGGACATTCCCTTAGGGAATAACCAATACTGGATTAAGACTGATACCTAATTCAAAAACTGGTACTGGTACTTGTGTACACATACAACTTGTACCATATTTTCCGGACTATAAGTCGTTCCGGAGTATAAGTCGCACCAGTGCCCTCTAGCAGCTGTCTGTGTGAAAATAATGAACATGTACATTTTCAGTGGTACAGGAGTAGCAAATACTGGTACACAAGTCTAGAGTGCCCTCTAGTGGCTGTCCGTGTGAAAATAACAAATGTGAAATCATATGTATATTTCAGTATATGTCGCACCTGAGTATAAGGCGCAAACCCAGCCCAAGGATGAAAACATGTGCGACTTATAGTCTGATGGAGCAACATGATACCTATTTGCATTCAGTAAGCGCTAATGTTTTCCTCCCCAAATTCAGTGTCTCATTGCCCTCATGGGTATTTTATATAGGATAGATCATAGATCATCAATGTCAACAACGTTAACATCAGGGGCAACGTTTAGGTTTACTATAATATTTGTTTTGGTAAGATGGGGTGTGGCATGTTTCTCACACATTGTGATTTCTTATTTGCCCTTATACAGCCACACACCTGTACCACAGACGAAAAAACACAGACACGCACTGTAGATTTTTTCTTTAGATTCTTGATTGTTTATGTTTGTACTATTGCCAAGTTGTTTTTAAATTAAATTTGATTAAATTAAGCTAAAATCGATGAAATGCTTTACAGCAAACTTTACTCATGTCATTCCCCATCTTAAAAGGTTCTACTTGCAGTGTACTTTACTTTTGTTTACTTAAGCATGATTTAAAAAAAAAAAAAACAGCAGCTAAGCAAATTAATGAGCCTCCACCTCTCCAGGGAGAATCTGTATTTCATGTGAGGAAATTAAAAATAATCACCTATTTATGGACAGAGAGAACACATGTTCCTCCTGACGCAGCTTGTTTTACACTTCTCTGTCTTGTTAGGGGAAAAAAAAGAAATAAAAGCCAAGGGATTCGTTATTATTTTCTATATCCAGTGTACGAATTAAGGTCTACATTCAGTGGTTCTTTTGATTTACAGATTTGATTTGATTTACATATAATTTCATCTCTGCAGACCGAGTCAAGGCTGTAAAGAAGATCTTGATTTAGTTCTCAACATCAAAACAGTATCAAAAATCAAAACAATGCAAGGACTTCATTAATATCCAATGCAGCTGATTATCATGGCCGTTGTACCTCTGATCATGGTAGTAGATTCAAAAAGCTAAAATAAGGAATTTTTTTATATTATATATTACATTTTGTTCTGTTGTTTTGTTCATTCACGCGATAGCTAGAAGCACTTTAACCACTTGTTCATACCAAAAGCCAGTGAGCATATGTGAGGTTTGGGATGGACCAGTAAACTCCAACTTCAAGCATCTAGACCAGAGCAGAAGCTGCAGATATTTCACTGATCTGTTTGTCCTTTGTGTCCATGACCCAACACGGACTGATGAAGAGAGAATCTGTCATTACCACTTCTAAATTCAGGATTCGGCTTGTTAAAGTATAAGGTACAAATTCACAGAGTCCCAAGTCCCATGTTTCCCGGATACTTGAGCAATCAAATCTCTCCAGGAATGGGTTGATGGTTTGAATGCAGCCAACAGATTTTGGTGCGCATATGTGTATGTTACCTCACTGGCTTTGTCCAGGCATTTAAGGGGAGGAGTAATACTCGGTTGAAGACAGAGAGCACTTGTGATTATTATTTTGGCCATAAATGTACGGCCCTACAACAGTGTTTGACAATTTAACGATACCTTGTAGTAATAATAATATGTTTACATATACATATACAGTGTTCCCTTTTCCGTATCACAGTTCTCCTTTCGCTCCCTCGGTACATCGGAATTCTTTTTTTTAATTTGATCTCACGAAATCTTTGCTATATCACAAAATATTTAAAAAAAAACTAAAAGAGATTATAAAATAATTATACATACGAAAGTTTTGGCTTCATCTCGTTTTG